GACCTGTCCAGGACCAGGTGACCTGTCTAGGTGACCCCGCATGTCATCCAGACTGTTAGCTGGAGATGCAGATTGTGGGCGTGGATAAGATGGTGGGCGGGGCTAAAAGCCAAACCTCTCACTGCAGAGCAGAGGAGGACAGAGGCTGATTTTTAGACCTTTGACCTTCACTTTGGCCGATCTTTGAAAATTTTGGCCATTTTGTCGACTAATTGATTTATCGGTGCACCCCTAATGAAATGACCACTTCAGTTTTTAAATAAAGTGGTCTTTCTCGTATTATTTAGACTTTAATTGCCGTATGACTTTATCTTTTGGAATATTATGACTTTAACACTCGTAGCCTGGCTCTGATATTTCACCATAGAGTTCACCTGAACCTAAAGTCCAAATTAACAGAAGCTGTAAAAAAAAACAAAAAACTGCTTGTCAAACAAGATGGCCGCTATGACATCACCCCAACCCAAGGAGAGCATTTGTGAAAAAAACAGTCCAGAACTTTGAATCTTCAGAAAGCCAAAATTTGATTAATCGATGTGATCGATTTATCGCCCAGCTCTGCTCCAGAGTTTCTTGGTTTGGCTTCGTGTGATGGACCGCCGCCGCGCTTCGCCGAGGCTGGCCGGCTGCTCAGTGGAAGCTTCCTGAGCTCGAGCGTCGCCGGCCGCACCGCTCTGGACCGCCGCAGCACTTCTCAGTTTCACGACTTTTCTCAGCATTCGTGGCCTTACGAGCGCCCAGAGGCGAGCTTCAGGAAGTCCTGGAACCACGGGTTCTCATCTCCGCCCCGCAGGCTCGGCTCTGCGGTTCTGAACTTTCCCGTCTCCTCGCTGGGTTTTCTTGTAGTACTTCTTTTGTTGTTGTGGATCCGTAGAGCGCCCTACTTGAAATGTAGAAATGTAAAAGTTTGGCAGAAGGAGCAGAAACTCCGTCAGGCCGTATTTAAGTCTGGTTAATGTGAAGCGAAGGCGTCCTGTCGGAACGGCGTGTGATAGCGACTCCCCCCTCTCCGGCGTATCTCCTCACCTCTTTCCTGATGCGTCTCTGTGAATCAGTTTGATTTCTGTTAGCGATGAGCAGCAAACCCACTTCCTGTGGATCCTGGGGTTCGTTTGGAGTGGGCGGGCGTGGGCCGGTTCCAGGTTCTCAGAAACATCCGCCCAAAAATCCGTAAACTTCATCTAGTGCATTAATTTAAAACGGAAAAGAAAAAATAAATAAATAGGGACGTATTGATTTCCTGCTGATTATTTAAAAGAAGTTAACTAGCTTTTCTGCCGTCAGCGTTGTTTAATTTATAAGAGAGAACGTCACACTGTGTGTGGAGGAGCATTTGGATTAAAGTTAGGATAACACTTACTTAGTCTTTAGCATCTTGGTCTTTTAGCATC